AGTTTCCTCTATACATATTTTTTAACGTTATGGGGGAGGATGGAGTTCTCTCATTCACCATTTTATCGCTTATGTCCAACAGATTGCTATCTCACAAACTGTTCCTTATAGCAGTGTCATGAGACTCATAAGTAAGTCTAATTTTTTTTTAAAAAAACATATTCTTAATGACACTAACATGGTATTATATATTTACTGTTGGATCCTTAAGACATCTTCGTCTTTTACGCATGATAAAGTACTCAAGTCTAGCGTTTCATTTAAAATTTCAGGAAACATCATTCTTTTCCTATATCACACTTTGTACTATTTTCTTGTTCTTTTCTTTCTTCAAGGTGGCTCTCCTCATGAAAATCTTTTCTAAAGCATAAGAGGAAATATTCTTTCTTTTAATAGATCACTATAATTTGTCTTACCTAACATAACAAAAGAAATTCTTTTTACATTCTAGAATAGATTAAACTACTAAACTTATTTTTTAACCACCCAAGCATCTCAAAACGTCTTTTCATCAAAAGAAAATATTTCTTATGGTTCTGTACCTCTGGAACTAAAACCATAACTTCATTGATTAGTATCCGAAGTAGTCAGGAAAGTTGAATCAAATTTTAAACTAGACCTTTCATATTATCTTAAAATTTGAGCTTGAAAAGAACAACTATTCCAAATAAGATGAGCACCAGTCTCTTTCAATCCTTGAAAACAATTTATTAATTGAAACTAAGAGTCTTAATATCTAGAGGAAAAATCTTCTTGGGCTCTCATTAGAAAATCGGTAAGTAGGTCAACATTAAAAGTCAACATCAAAAGGAATTGTTTGTCGTTTCAAATTTTCATGTTTCTTAACAAAAGGCATCATAAATGTTCTGTTTAACAAAATAAAAATTGTCAAACACATAAATATCTGACATAGAATACTTGACAATAGGCATTCTTTCATTTTGCAATAATGACTCAAAAATTCCATCTCTTTGTTTCCTTATTCAGCTATAGACGAATTAAGGAAAGTAATAATACGTGAACTTTCTGTGGACTGTTGGTATGCAAGTGACATTTTTTTTTTTGACTAACTTTGAGTAACATAGTTCTTTCCGAACCTCTAACTCCTAACTATTTGCTTTTGGGAAAAAAAAATTGCCCTCTCATAGTGATAAAATTTTCATAGCTTTCTAAAATAATAACGTAGCCAAAAAGTAATAACTGATTTCTCATAGGAGTGAATAATAATTAGCAGCCAAAATACAGCTAACTCAATACTTGCTTAGTAAAACATTTTTGAATCTGAACTTAATAAACTGCATTAGGACTTGCCCAGGCCTTACTTATTAGATTTTTTTAAAAATAATGATCCCCCCCAATAAGCAACTTAACACTTGCTTTTAATTACTTTACAAAACTCTTTTAATTTTGCTCTTTAGATTTCAAATGGAAACGATAAACTATTCAAAGAATCTAATAAACTGACCAAAGGACATTAGAAAAAATCTTCTTACTGGTTTCATATATTCTTAATTTGACTGGAGTAATTTAATCAATCAAAATCACATAGTACAACTTACTCGACTATTGGGGTTCAAGCCTTTTAGTTGCTGATGACTTGTAACAAAAGAATAGTTTGTGGTGCCAACTTTATACTCTTTACTCCCACCAACAATTCTATTACTCATAAAGCATACTAGTTCGCCACAAGCTCATTGGGATACCCTTTACCAATACTCATACATAATGGTTATACAAGAGCTTGATAGTACTATACTACCATATTCTTTATTACATTGAAACCTTCATACTCTAGATCATACTATATGAAAACACACATCACACATCCCTATATCGTAGTGTGCAATGTGCAACAGGTTCTAAGACTCATGATTTACCAGAGACTGGTTCGATCTAATCCTTCCACACATCTCTACTAATCTAACTTCTAAGAACCAGATACTATTAAAACCTTTGAATCACATATATAGACTTTATTGGCCGATCATAGTAAGAAAATTTAAGTGATGGCACTCCATATATTTTGGTAACCAAATGGTAAAAATCATATGAGGGCAACCTTGGTAAAAAGAATGTACAACTCTGTTTAAATCTCAGTGCCAAGGGCTGAGAGTACTCGAAAATTTCTTTGGGACATTTTAAAACTCTAAATTTCTTCTGAAACATACTTTTGAGGAAATAGCTAAATACTATACTAATAAATAACTTAAAAAAACTACTTATTCGACTTTTACTAAAATAATTGTCATTTGATTAATCATTAATCACCAAACGCATTTAATGATTAATCAACACACTCTAATACTTATTTTAAAATAAGCATTTCTTACAACTAAAAGATGACATATAATCTGACCATTTATCATATTAAAGCGATGTCCGACCATCGGTATCTCCTATTGGAACCATCAAATTGATGAGGGGCCCTCCCAGCAACTCAAGATTCTAAACATGAAATACCGATGCTCAACACTCTAGAAAAATTATGCAGCTTATGATATTGTCGATAAAACATTTGAATCCATTATTAAAGAGTTTTCGAAATCTACAGTGAAGCTGCAACCCTTCACATACAAAAATTAAGCTAAAAAAATTATAACTCCTTTAATTTTATTTTTCTCACAAAAATATAATAAGATAAAGTAAATAGCATGAGCGGTTTATAAAATAATTTTATTTTAATAAATAAATAATACAACAAACTGATTTTGTATGCTTACGGAATTTCGTGATCTCATATAAACTCAATTACATGTGATGCTTTAAAAAAATATCAGACGAACTCGTTATTATCTTTCTAAAAAAAATTACTAACAAGACTTAGATCATGACTAAACTACAAGCTATATAAAAAGACAGCTGGAATAGCACTGCTTGTGACATAATTCATTTACTTAATCATGAGAAAATAAAGACTATATGACATTTTTTTTTCCAAATCAACTCGGATTTTAATCATGAGTAATCTCTATATATGAGGAATATTTGCTCTGAAAGATCAACAGATGCTAAAAATGGAAGGCTGCAGATACTTAATTATGAAGGTGTATGACTAGAACGATGGTGTATTTAGATAACAACCCCAAGTACTTCCTAAATGAAGTAGAAGACTTAACTCAAGAACTTAGACACTCGGATAAATTTAATCTGAATAACTCGTAATAACACAAAAGTTGTACAAGTTGAGTACGTACTACATTTACTTGACTTTTCTATCTAACTAATGCAAACAACACTCAAACATATTTTCATATATATAACTTTTAGCATAAATAAGTACTTACTTGGAAGATGACGAGCACGTGTACGGTGACAAATGAAGTTACGAGACAACCTGGGCTCTGATAGCATCTCATGGTTAGTTCAACAAATTTTGTGTGCAAAATAATATTTTTTTTGGAAGGTAAAAGTTGTGATAATTCTCTTTTTAATGGGTATTTGGTTGAGAAAGTTTTTATTATTCACATAAACTATCATTGTTTTTAGATTTATTACACTACTTTTACTCTTGAAAACCATTCCCAAAATAAACCTTGTGACTAGGAAACATCATCTTCTTCCATGTCCAAAAATGGTTTAAGTACATCTCAAATATTCAAGAACCATTTTGGAAAACAAGCCACCCCCATATCTCATCAAATAAATGGGAATGATCAAAGTGACTTTCAATAAACATTTGTTGAGAACCACAAATGAGTATCCTCAAAAAAAAAACATGAGGAACTCACAATCTCTTCAAAATATTCCAACTGATTCATTCCTATACTGAAAAGTCAATACACCAAAAAGCCATTCGACACTCCCAAATAACCCCAGTCACAATCCACTTACCAATTCTCAAGAGTATAAGTAATTTTTCTTAATCTAATGATATTTTTTGTGTGTTGAATAGAAAAATGGGTTTTGGACCGAGAATGAAAAAAGAGTTTACAAACATTTTTTTTACCTCTCTTAAAATAATTTATTTTTGTGCATATATTTTTGTTGAACTAACCAAAACATCAAAAGGTGACAACATTGCTCGAGGACTAGCAACGCTCAAGTGTGGAGGAATTTGATAAGCACAATAATTACTTATGTTTTACATAAGTAATTATATTTATCTGTACAAAAATGTGAAGCAAAAACAGGTAAATATTCCCGAGTGAGCGGAAACATGAAATACGGCTTGGAGCAACAAAAATAGGGTCAAAAGTCAAAAGGGGTCGAAAACCGGCACTTCCGGGTAAATTTCGGACAGAAAAAGAGAAAGAGAAACGTAGTACACATTTTGGCGCAGGAACCGGCGCCGGTCTTCACATTTCCGGCGCCGGTCGTATGGCATTTTTTTCCCACTTTTTCACCTGTTTCCAACCGGCCCAGACAACCGGTGCATTTTTGCACCCAACCGGCGTCGGACATGCTATAACCGGCGCCGGTTGTTCCGATTTTCTGCTAAAACAGTCCGACGTGCAGAAGATTTCTGATGGGAAAAACCCATTTTCCTCCATATCTGATCAAATACTGCTTCCATACCCGATTGCTAGAGTAGACTAAAAGATGCCTTTCTTTAGCGTATATAAAGCCCTTAATTCATCAAGCAATAACATTCCATTCCATACTTTAATTCCTAGTTTTCATACTTTGTTTTTGCTATTGTTCTTCAAGTTCTTGAGGAGGAAACTTCAACCTCCGAAACCATTGGTGTTTAGGTATTATTTCCTTTGTAATTTCATGTTCCATTACATTTCAATATTGTATTGTGATTAATATGAGCATTAGAAGCTAATTCCTTAGCTAAGGCTAGGGATGAACTTCTATGCCCACTATGTAACACCCCACCCGGCCCGGTCCTGCCGACCCGAGTGGCGCGTCACTTGGCGGAAAATCAGAACGGATTTAATCAAAAATACTTTTCGTGGTTCAAGAAATAGTGCCTTTTTTTTTTTTTACTTTGAACACAAAACATTTAATAAGAGATTTTATTACTTAAAATAAAGTGTATTAGTTCCAAAACGACTTCATTACTAAATACCAGAAAATGTCAAACTCACATGGAGTAGAATGTTATTAAAACAGACATAACTTAAACATCATAAAACACTTCAAGGAGTGCAGCGGAAGTTCTTATAATCACATATGACATAATAAAGTCCTTTATAAAAAAAAACACCAAATAACATGGCATGCAAATGCGTCCTACGCCTCTTTCCATCCCTGTGCTCCTAGCGGGTTCCGTGCTCAACCTACGGGTAGGAAAACACACAACTACCCGCTCAGCAATGTGCTGAGTGGTACGGTGATAACATAACAATAATATTAACATATCAAAGAACATATTAACAAATCATAATTCACATATGATCAGACAAACATATAACATACCTGGGTGAACCGAGCTGCTGTTATAAAAATACATACTTTTACATACAGAATAGAATCATACTCAGATATCATAAATGTCAGATAATTTTATTCTGAGATAATTTTTTTATATTCTTCTTGTGTACAGAACAGAAGCATATTCAGATATCATAATTATCAGATAATTCTTATTCTGAAACTTATCATTGAAAAATACATATTCATTTAGCCTTGAACTCTAGAATCTGGACCTAGACCGAGGAATACTAACGGTAAGGAATACGGCCGATCGGAGTCCATACCCACATTACCCAGAAGGAATATGGAAACGTAATCGCCGGAGCTACACGTACCAATCCCTGACAGAAGCTAGCTGAGCAGAAAGGACGAGATCACCGAAGAGACCCGAACCTTAACAGGAGAGTAATAGTGCTCTAAAAATATTCAGGAGTGTACGTAGTACACTAAACAGGAGAGCACTATTTCCTCTAAACAAAATTTCAGGAGTGTACATAGTACACTAAACTGAACAGGAGTATCCTAGTCAGAGTACCATTTCAAGAGCAAGGCTTTTCCCAAAACATTGATCTTTCGGTTTATTTATAAGGATAATATCTCATATGGTAGTTATAAAATTATAATCCCCATACCAATAATATTAAGTTGCGACCAGCCAAAATAATAATCTAAGTTCACGAAAGTTTAACCATGTCACGTGTCTATATTTATAACTACGTAGTTTTATATAGACTAGCATAAAATAACAACTAATTAACTTATATAAACACGCCAGACATGTATACTAAAATTTCAATTGATTATGCTCTCTGTAACATGCGTATACATATACTCCTATTATATTAATTTAATGCATGCAGGTTAGGAGTATTCAGTCCACATGCACTTTTACGTAAATACTCGTATCAATTAAGTGATTAACTAAGTTAGTGCATGCCTCTTATAGTAATATTATATATTTAATAAAAATGGTGTCCACACGTTTAAATTATAAACACACACATATATATATATATCAAACACGTATATAAATAATTCTAGTAATATACGTGTTTACCTTATTCAATTCTTTCAATGCATGCATGTGTCCATACCTAATTAACTTTCATAGATAACAGTAATATATATATATATATATATATATATATATGAATATTCCTATTTTCATGCTAGATTAATTACTATTAATTTGAAAATAATATTTACTACTTATTTATATATATACGTAAATACATAAGTAGATCACTAATTAAGTTAATGCATGCATGCGTGTCACATATGTATATACATACTATATTATTACTTTAATATTTAATTGGTTAGAGCATCCATGCAAATTATATATTACGCACGTATGTATTACGAAATCTGTGTATGTGAACATGTCCATTAATGCATATGCAAGCATATTATTTATTACTAAAATCTAAAGATGGTATACTTCTACATATATTCACCGTAAGTCATCTACGTAGTTAGTGCATGGATATCAAATATTATTCATTTACTTCAATGACCAGGCCGAAAACATTATTATATGTATATAATGAAAAATTATATTGACTCATAGCCGAAATCTTTATATGGGTATTAATGTGAAGTAAGTGCATATTTTTCTATATACTTTTATTTATAAGATCTAACTTTATAACTCATGCAGCTAGTCATGTGACTCATGTAAATAATTGCCTCATGTATACATGTATGCTAAATAACTAATGGGTACACGGTTAAATATTTATAACTCATTTTGAGGCTGTCCTAACGTGTAGTTTAATGTGACAACCAACGCATGCATATTAATCATACTGATATGTACTTCGTATATACTTATGTTAATGCTATACAAGCTCCCTAATTCAATTTTACGTAATTCGACTAATTCTCCTATTTTTCTAAAAAGTATAGGGCACATACACACATGCATGTAATCATAGTTCGATCTATATCAATCGTAAGGCCAGGTATATTATTCTAAGTAAAATAGATCTTCTTTTACATTCTCAATACTTATGTATCGAATCGTTATAATAAGCTAACCATAAATTTTAATCTATTTTTCTTCTGAAATACGCAGCTAAATTTTATTTTTAGTTGACATTCATATTGATTAAAAAGGTATTTACTATTAGATCAATTATTTTGTATTCACAAGCAATCATTCTTATAAATTTGGAGAGCACTATTTAAAGCATACAGAGCATATCTAAAACTATATGATATTCATCACCATCCCCATAACATAAGAGAAACGGGGACGGAAATTATACTGAAATAAACATATTGGAATACCCATTAAATAAATGGGGGTGAAAACGTACTAACCTTATTGAAAAGAAATTATCAGAAATCTGACTACGCAGGGAAGTCCTCCTTACGACACTGATTCTTCCATCACATTAGCTAGCAACTAGTTCTTCTCTTTAAATTTATTTATTTATTTTTCTCTCGGCCACTTATGACAAGCCATTGAAAAATATCTGGTTGTATGACCACATGCATATAAATATATATGCAAGGTCACTTTTACCAATCCTGGACGTATTATGGAGATGGAGCCAGTTTGCATTTTATTATCCTCCTATTCTACCAGTACGCATGGCGTTACTATATGAGGAGTGTACTGAGGTTGCCAAGTGTGATACTTCATGCATGCTGGAACAATTTAGTCATACACATGCTAGTGCATAGACTTCCAAGTGGATTATACCATGCATTCTAGGACAAACAATGCTACTCCATACGGTGACCTTTGTTTTGGAGTTAAGGGAAATATGTTTCTCAAATTATAATTAATAGATCATGTTATTTTGTAACATTCAACTTTCGTAACTAAATTCACGAGTTTACAAAGACCTGATAAATATTTATCAACATTTAGTTTCGAATGTCATTCAAGTTTATTTTAAAACGTTTCTTTTATCTGTATATTCTCATTTGTCGAATTTCTTCATCTAATACTATTTATTTACTAATATTTATTGTCTATTTACTGATAATTTAACTTCTAAAATTAGTTAACGAGAATGGGTATTATTTCAAATTTACGTTACCGGCTAGACCGGATTTTCGGGGTGTTACATTTCTCTCCCCCTTAAAAGAATTTCGTCCTCGAAATTACCTTAATTGATGTTGTCAAACAAGTGTGGATACTGAGCCAACATTGCTTCTTCAGTTTCCCAAGTTGCTTCCTCCGTGGTGTGGTTCCTCCAGAGGACTTTCACTAAGGGAACCTTTTTGTTCCTTAACACTTTTGTGTCTCGGGCGAGTATCTGCACTGGTTCTTCTTCATATGTCAAATCCTTATTGACCTCGACAGACCCAGGTGTTAGCACATGTGAAGGATCTGATCTGTATCTTCTTAACATAGATACATGAAAGACGTCATGTATTTGGCTCAATTCCGGTGGCAATGCTAGTCGGTAGGCTACTGGACCAATACGTTCGGTGATTTTGTATGGCCCAATAAACCTTGGACTTAGCTTTCCCTTCTTACCAAAACGTAGAACCTTTTTCCAAGGAGACACTTTTAAGAAAACTTTTTCTCCAATAGCATACTCAATATCACGACGCTTCAGATCAACATATGACTTTTGTCTATCTGATGCTATCTTGAGTCGCTCTTGAATCAGTTTGATCTTCTCCTCTGTCTCTTGAATCAAATCGGGCCCAACGATCTTTCTTTCACTCAGCTCTGTCCAACAGACCGGAGTTCTACATTTCCGACCATATAGAGCTTCATATGGTGCCATTTGAATGGTAGCTTGGTAGCTATTGTTGTATGCGAACTCCATAAGAGGTAAGTATTTCTCCCAACTTCCCTTGAACTCAATTGCACAACCCCGCATCATATCCTCAAGAATTTGAATAACTCTTTCAGATTGACCATCTGTCTGTGGATGAAAGGCTGTGCTAAAGTTCAATTTTGTACCAAGTGCCTTTTGTAAGCTTCCCCAGAATTGAGAAGTGAATCTTGGATCTCTATCAGATATGATGGACAGGGGTATCCCATGTAGTCGGACTATTTCTTGAATATACAGTTCGGCCAACCTATTTAAGGAGAAATCTTTTCGAATGGGTATGAAATGAGCAGATTTGGTAAGTCGGTCTACAATTACCCAGACTGAATCATTCTTCTTTGGTGTCAATGGTAATCCCATCACAAAATCCATAGTTACCCGATCCCATTTCCATTCTGGTATTGTAATAGGTTGTAACAATCCAGATGGAAATTGGTGCTCGGCTTTAACCTGTTGGCAAATGAGACACTTCGAAGTATACTCAGTGATATCACGTTTCATACCAGACCACCAATAAAGGTTCTTTAAATCTCTAAACATTTTGTTACTGCCTGGATGCATTGAGTATTTGGTTTCATGTGCCTCACGAAGAATTCTTTGTTTAATTTCCCCGTTAGGAACAACTAAACGACCTCGGAAGCATAATCCACCATTACTTTGTTTAGAGAAATCTGGTCTCTCCCCCTTAGAAATGGACTCCGCTATCTTAAGACATTGATCATCACACTTTTGAGCAGCTAGGATTTCCTCTTGAAGTGAGGGTTTGAGATGTAATTCAGCTAGAGTTTTCCGGCTCAAAGCATCTGCTACAACATTAGCCTTCCCCGGATGATAATCGATTACACAATCGTAATCCTTTATTAACTCTAACCAGCGCCTTTGCCTCAAATTTAGCTCTTTCTGGGTCGGAAGATATTTGAGACTCTTATGGTCGGTAAAGATATAACATCTTTCCCCATAAAGGTAATGTCGCCATATCTTTAAAGCAAAGACAATGGCTGCTAGCTCCAGATCGTGTGTGGGGTAGTTCTTCTCATGCTCTTTGAGTTGTCTCGAGGCATAAGCAACCACCTTTCCTTCTTGCAAAAGAACACATCCTAGGCCATTAAGAGAAGCATCACTATACACAGTGAAGTCTTTACCTGAAACAGGTTGGACTAGGACTGGAGCTTCAGTAAGAACCTTCTTTAGTTTATCAAAACTCTCTTGGCAAGATGGTGTCCATTCAAAACGTTTATTCTTCTTCAAAAGTTTATGGAGAGGTGAAGCTATCAAGGAAAAACCTTTAACAAAGCGACGATAGTAACCGGCTAATCCCAGAAAACTTCGGACCTCCGTCACATTTCGAGGTGGTTTCCAATTTGTGATGGCTTGTATTTTCGCGGGGTCCACTCTTATGCCATCCGCTGAAATGACATGACCTAGAAAGGTTACTTTATCAAGCCAAAACTCACACTTTGAAAACTTGGCATAGAGTTTGTGCTTTCGGAGTGTTTCTAGCACAATCTTGAGATGCTCCTTGTGCTCCTCCTCAGACTTTGAATAGATCAAGACGTCGTCAATAAAGACAACCACAAAATGATCTAGAAAAGGCTTGAATACTCTGTTCATTAGGTCCATGAATGCAGCAGGGGCATTGGTTAAACCAAAAGGCATGACCAAAAACTCATAGTGCCCGTATCTTGTTCTGAATGCAGTTTTTGGTACATCTTCCTTCTTTACGGGAAGCTGGTGATATCCTGATCGGAGATCAATTTTTGAGAACACTTTAGCTCCCTTGAGTTGGTCAAAGAGATCATCGATCCTCGGCAATGGGTAACGGTTTTTCACCGTAACTTTGTTCAGCTGTCGATAATCGATGCAAAGTCTCATGGAACCATCCTTTTTCTTCACAAATAGAACTGGTGCGCCCCATGGAGACACACTAGGTTGGATGAATCCCTTATCTAAGAGATCTTGAAGTTGTGCCTTTAATTCTTTCATTTCAGCAGGAGCCATTCGATAAGGAGTTGCAGAAATGGGAGTGGTACCAGGAGCTAGTTCAATATTAAATTCCACTTCTCGAGATGGTGGTAAACCTGGTAACTCGTCAGGAAAAACATCTGGAAAATCTTGCACAATGGGAATGTCATTTAATACAGGAGCTTCCTTCTGCGTATCTCGAACATATGCTAGGTATGCTTGACATTTCTTGCGCATAAGTCTTTTAGCATGCATCATAGAAATGAGTTGAGGTGGCTTTGGAAATAATTCTCCAGGAACAAGAACAGTCTCACCTTGCTGAGTTTGAAGCAACAATGTTTTATCTTGGCAATTCACCACCGCTTTATGCTTAGAAAGCCAATCCATACCAAGAATGATATCAAATTCTCGATAAGGTAACTCGATGAAATCCGCATTGAATTGTTTTCCTTGAACTTCCAAGGGACAATGTCGGTATACTTGATTGACAATGATACTTCGCCCTAGAGGTGTGGATACCTCCATTTGGATGTCTAAGGACTCTCTCGGGTACTCATGTAAACACGCAGGGCAGACACATATATAAGAATGTGTAGAACCTGGATCAATTAAAGCACACATATCGGTATTAAAAAGAGTAAACATACCAATGATGACATCATTTTCCGGTTGCTCCTCCCTAGCTTGCATCGCATAGGTCCGTGCCTGGGGGCGACCTTGTTGTGGCCGGTTCACAGTTTCAGAGTTGTTGGTGGTATTTCCTTGATTATGATTTTGCCCCCTCCTCTGTGGAGGCTGCATAGGGCGGGCTGGAGCCGATGAAGCATTACCTGTGGCAAGTGATGGACACTCTCTAAGCATGTGACCCATCTGGCCACACCTAAAACAAGCTCCGGAGGCTCTTCTACACTCCCCCATATGGTGTTTCCCGCAAAAGGAGCATAACGGGACACTTTTCACTTGGGCAGTTGACGGACGAGGTTTGTTGCTAGCAGACATGGATGTGGCACGGGACTTACTCCTTCCGCTTTCGTGTTTCTTCCCCATCGGGTTCTTTGTCGGTGCTGAGTAAGAAAATGTCCCCCTGCCGGTCTTTCTTCTGCGCCACCCTTCAAAACTTTGAGCGGCCTCCACAAGCTGCGTAAAGCTAACGTGGCGTAAGCTGACCACCTGCCCAGCGATTTCCTCATTAAGCCCATACTCAAATTTCCGGCACTTGTCAGCTTCCACTCTTACCATATCCCGAGCATACTTGCTCAGGCGAAGGAACTCATATGCATACTCCGCCACTGTCATGGATCCTTGTGTCAGATCCATAAATTGCCGCTTTCGTTCTTCTTGGTACCAGGCCGGGACAAACTGATCTATGAAACGTGCTTGAAAGTAGTCCCACGTCACGGGCATCGGTAGATCAGGTCGGAGAAGTACAGATTTCCACCAATCGTAGGCTCCATGTTGCAGCAAACTAATAGCATGGCGCGAGCGACCGGCTACCGGCACCTGTAAGTCTTCTAATACTCGAGCAGTTTGCTCAAGCCAAAATTCAGCAATTTCTGGAGTATCACCCCTTTTCCCAAAGAAAATGGAGGCGCCATTCTTCTTAAGCTTCTCGATCGTAATGGACTCTCGTGCATCTCCGTTATTAATCGGGATCACATTTTGAACCATCTGCTGGAACAGTCCAGTCATCTGTTGTATGAACGGATTCGGAACATGGTATTCTTCATGGTGAGTGCTTGCATGTTCGGATCCATGCACAGAATGCTCACTGGGATCTTCAGACGACATTTTAGGCGCCTAAATTTAAAATTTCATAATAACTTAGTTATCTATGATATAACTAAATACCAGGATGGGAGGCGGACTTCTAAAATGCAATGCAAGACACAACTGTAAATAAAGTAAACCCCATTTACCCAAGGTTTAAAAGAATCATTTAAAACCATTGGCTCTGATACCAAAACTGTAACACCCCACCCGGCCCGGTCCTGCCGACCCGAGTGGCGCGTCACTTGGCGGAAAATCAGAACGGATTTAATCAAAAATACTTTTCGTGGTTCAAGAAATAGTGCCTTTTTTTTTTACTTTGAACACAAAACATTTAATAAGAGATTTTATTACTTAAAATAAAGTGTATTAGTTCCAAAACGACTTCATTACTAAATACCAGAAAATGTCAAACTCACATGGAGTAGAATGTTATTAAAACAGACATAACTTAAACATCATAAAACACTTCAAGGAGTGCAGCGGAAGTTCTTATAATCACATATGACATAATAAAGTCCTTTATAAAAAAAAACACCAAATAACATGGCATGCAAATGCGTCCTACGCCTCTTTCCATCCCTGTGCTCCTAGCGGGTTCCGTGCTCAACCTACGGGTAGGAAAACACACAACTACCCGCTCAGCAATGTGCTGAGTGGTACGGTGATAACATAACAATAATATTAACATATCAAAGAACATATTAACAAATCATAATTCACATATGATCAGACAAACATATAACATACCTGGGTGAACCGAGCTGCTGTTATAAAAATACATACTTTTACATACAGAATAGAATCATACTCAGATATCATAAATGTCAGATAATTTTATTCTGAGATAATTTTTTTATATTCTTCTTGTGTACAGAACACAAGCATATTCAGATATCATAATTATCAGATAATTCTTATTCTGAAACTTATCATTGAAAAATACATATTCATTTAGCCTTGAACTCTAGAATCTGGACCTAGACCGAGGAATACTAACGGTAAGGAATACGGCCGATCGGAGTCCATACCCACATTACCCAGAAGGAATATGGAAACGTAATCGCCGGAGCTACACGTACCAATCCCTGACAGAAGCTAGCTGAGCAGAAAGGACGAGATCACCGAAGAGACCCGAACCTTAACAGGAGAGTAATAGTGCTCTAAAAATATTCAGGAGTGTACGTAGTACACTAAACAGGAGAGCACTATTTCCTCTAAACAAAATTTCAGGAGTGTACATAGTACACTAAACTGAACAGGAGTATCCTAGTCAGAGTACCATTTCAAGAGCAAGGCTTTTCCCAAAACATTGATCTTTCGGTTTATTTATAAGGATAATATCTCATATGGTAGTTATAAAATTATAATCCCCATACCAATAATATTAAGTTGCGACCAGCCAAAATAATAATCTAAGTTCACGAAAGTTTAACCATGTCACGTGTCTATATTTATAACTACGTAGTTTTATATAGACTAGCATAAAATAACAACTAATTAACTTATATAAACACGCCAGACATGTATACTAAAATTTCAATTGATTATGCTCTCTGTAACATGCGTATACATATACTCCTATTATATTAATTTAATGCATGCAGGTTAGGAGTATTCAGTCCACATGCACTTTTACGTAAATACTCGTATCAATTAAGTGATTAACTAAGTTAGTGCATGCCTCTTATAGTAATATTATATATTTAATAAAAATGGTGTCCACACGTTTAAATTATAAACACACACATATATATATATATCAAACACGTATATAAATAATTCTAGTAATATACGTGTTTACCTTATTCAATTCTTTCAATGCATGCATGTGTCCATACCTAATTAACTTTCATAGATAACAGTAATATATATATATATATATATATATATATATATATGAATATTCCTATTTTCATGCTAGATTAATTACTATTAATTTGAAAATAATATTTACTACTTATTTATATATATACGTAAATACATAAGTAGATCACTAATTAAGTTAATGCATGCATGCGTGTCACATATGTATATACATACTATATTATTACTTTAATATTTAATTGGTTAGAGCATCCATGCAAATTATATATTACGCACGTATGTATTACGAAATCTGTGTATGTGAACATGTCCATTAATGCATATGCAAGCATATTATTTATTACTAAAATCTAAAGATGGTATACTTCTACATATATTCACCGTAAGTCATCTACGTAGTTAGTGCATGGATATCAAATATTATTCATTTACTTCAATGACCAGGCCGAAAACATTATTATATGTATATAATGAAAAATTATATTGACTCATAGCCGAAATCTTTATATGGGTATTAATGTGAAGTAAGTGCATATTTTTCTATATACTTTTATTTATAAGATCTAACTTTATAACTCATGCAGCTAGTCATGTGACTCATGTAAATAATTGCCTCATGTATACATGTATGCTAAATAACTAATGGGTACACGGTTAAATATTTATAACTCATTTTGAGGCTGTCCTAACGTGTAGTTTAATGTGACAACCAACGCATGCATATTAATCATACTGATATGTACTTCGTATATACTTATGTTAATGCTATACAAGCTCCCTAATTCAATTTTACGTAATTCGACTAATTCTCCTATTTTTCTAAAAAG